ACAGAAGACTGAAGATGGTAGTGATGCATGGATCATTAACAACCAACCCTTTCAATCCAACCAAGCTGAATCCAATCCAATTAAATCTAACGTAATTTAATCTAAACCTACAAATGTCAAGCAATAATTCAGAATTATCTGGAAGCTAGAAGACAGAAAGTTTCACTGGGTAAAAATAGTAATAATAATTATATTTGTCTGTCATGGTCTTTTAATGACCACAAGTGTTCGTAACCGATGCACCTAGCAGTACCTATTGCAAGAAGCAGGTCCTAGTCTTTATTTATTTATTTAATAATTTATATGTGCAATATTAAAATCTGTCACACAGTAATTAGACACACCTTATTTTTGTGCATAACTTTTGTGTTTTCAAAAGTATTTGATCTAATAGTCTGCACAAGTTTCTAAATTCCATCGAAATACAACATTTTCGATTGCACCAAAGACACCATTGCACTGTCATGACTGATGATTACTTTAGAAGCAATTTCATTAATGCTCATTCTTTGGTTGTCCCAGATATGCTAACTGATCTGCCCCTTAACTTCAGTATGTTACAGTAAACAGGCATCCAGAACATGCACTGGCACTCAACCTCCATCCTTTAAATCTTTCCGCCCACTTGTAATGATCTCTCTAATAACAAATATGCGATGAAGAGCAGAAAGTGTACAGCTCCTTGTCTGTAAGTCTTCCCATCCTACTTTTAACTTACTTTTTCCTAGGACAAACGTGCCTTTTGAAACTATTTTATGCAACTGCTACATACTTTACTAGCCTTCGTAACAACTTCTGTTACCGTAACACTGGCTGTACAAGTACATAACTGCAATCCCTTGCATCTGCAAGTTCAAAGAAGTGCAGTTTACTCATCCTCTTGCTAAATATTCATGCACAAAGCTTCGAGTATTAACGAGCACAGAATTCTTCAGGCAGTACAGTTATGCAACACAGGAACTAGGGAAGGTAAAGCAGTAAAATAGCAACATCTCTCCCTCCTCATCAGAAGTGCGGAAGGAGAGACGCAATTAAACGAGCACTATCTACCCACATCCCTAGTGTCATGTGACCCTGCACAGGATTAAGGCCAAGACTCTTACTGGGTGCTCATCTGTGCCTCTGTGATAGAGCGGTGTGGAAGGCCCCTCAGCAGTGCCATGCGACAGTGCTAGGGCTACATCATTACCGTCCACTGCAACCGCCATCTCTTCCACCTGTCAACGCGACAACAATCCTCCTTCTCAACTGAACAAGAATTAATCCCAGTAGCTAACTCCAGTGTAGCAAATGAAAAGGAAGAATTAGTTACAGCGCTTATTGGAACATTATGTTTAAAAGAACTTACGTGCCTTTGCTTTGTAAAATAATTTAAACTACGTACCATCTGGATTGTTATAATTCAACCAGAGCTTGGTCGAACACATTTCAGTGTCAATAGAATCAATTCACTAAAGAATAAGAACATCACATCCTATATATTAAGTCTGACAACTCTGACACCACCAGAAAATGTTCCACATAATGTACAAGACCAGGATGCGCGTTCAATGACGCGTAAAATGAATAAAATCCCAAAACAATCAACGCGTTCAATGACACGTAAAATGAATAAAATCCCAAAACAGGACATACAAGGTCTGATCTCGAAATTTTGGGCTTCAATTGTCATACAGAGTAAGTTATGAAAAGGTCTGTCCTTTTCCTCGATTCTGTAAAATAAAATAAAAAACTAAAGAAACAATTAAATTCTTTGAAATTTTAGGATAGTCCGTATTCCCACTTATCAAAGGGACGTTATCGAAAGTGTCCATAAATTCCAATTATATAATTAAACTGCTTAATTTTTATGACAATGTTACACAGTCCGTCTAAAGTCCTTTCAGAGTGGTAACTTTTCTCTCACCGAGGAGTCAGTCACTCCATTCATTATGTGGATACAGAGCTTCGTGGCAGCTGTTTACGCTCCGTCATGGGAGTATTTTCTTGGATGCACAATGGCACCAAACAATTTTATTTCACACAAGATGATAGATATTTCTGATAGTGGCAGAGGTCATATTACGTGTACAGTGAAATAAGAGCAATGAAACTGCGTTAGAAGACGGCAGATCACTGTAATCACTTCGTACAATCAATTGGATTTATTCTGAGGATAAATGTGATTAAATGTTTCAGTCTTTGGCATGGCCCCCAAAAGTTCAACCCCTGACCAAGAAAAACACACTCAACTCTGTGAATGTCCAGGAGGGGGGGGGGGCTAAATTAAGTTAAATTAAGAAGCTGTGAAGCATGGAAACACTAACATTCTGATTTTTACATGACAATATAACTTAAAACTACAAGACGAAAATACAGCAGAACATTGATTATCTGTGGTAAAAAGAAAAAGCAGGGGCCCTGTTAATAAAAAAAAAACATGGTTAATCAAAATTATGTTTTATCAAACCGAGTACTGGAAATGCTGATTAGTATTACTGCATCTATAAACATTTGCAACAAGATGACATTGTAAATTTTAAGTGGAGGCGATGAGTCGGGTTACACTCGATATAAAGACGGTGTTGTGAGCAGTTGAAAATATAATTACATAAAACAAAATCTGAGATCACAGAGAATCCATTCTATGGATATTTTGTCGCACTAAATTGTTCAAGTTTATTGTTACTTCTTGTTGAAATAAACCAGTAATTTGCCAGGCACACTAGTACCAATACTACAAAAATCATGTAATACTTACGCTATCTTCCCGATTGAGGATTTCATCTGCATCATCATCACTGATATCGCTGAGATCCCCTTCGAGAGGTGCGGAATCCTCAAGACACAATTTTTTCGCTTCAGGCTTATCTGCTTCACCGTCAGTAGCAGGTCGAGGTCTCTTGCCGGATACCGACAAATCCGGGGCTTCTCCTGGCTTTTTAATTGGACTCTCATCCACTTTAACAGTTCCTGTGTGAAAAATGTTACCTCGTTCTACACTAAGTCCTTCTTGACAAGCTTGATATCCACTCAAAATGGCATTTATTACTATGTTCACAACAGCCTATTAGAGTCCATACATTAATCCCTCATTTCTTTCAGATCCATTTTAATGTCATCTTTCCATCTATGCCTAGGTATCCCAAGTAGTCTTCTTCCTTCGGGAATACTAAATAAACATCAGCTTCTTGTGTCATTAAAGCCTGATCACTCCTGACACTATGACAAACAGAAGCATCGCTGAATGCTACAAAATAGCTGCTGATCAATGCAATCAGCAAAGAGTGTCAATTTGTGCTCAGCTTATCACACCTTGTATTCAAATTCATGACAAATCTTACTAAGCACACAGCCCTTGTCTTTATGAACACAATTTTGTAAATTAACAATCTGACAGACAAAATCAGTCGAGCAACAGTCAAGAGCAAATACATGCATACATACCTTGCAGGACTAACTTCTCTTCTTTAACATCTAATACCGATTCTTTATCCTTCGTATCTTCATGCAACTTTTTGGTACTGAAAAAGTAAACATGGATTTATGAAATAAATCTGCCAAAAAATCAAAGTGCCACCATATGTGAACAAAACCATGAAAATCCTCAGTCAACATTGATTTCAAAATTATCTTTCCAACTACACCTACCATGTCAAAGTGGCCCTTTTCCTTTAGGTTTTCCAACCAAAACATAGACAAATTTCTCGCCCCCCTCCCCCCCTCCATGCAACATGTCATGCCATTCTCATCCTAATAATATCAGATTCATGGTATAAATTACAAAGATCCTCATTATTCAATTCTTTACTTCAATTCTGTAACTTTGTTCTTCTTCATTACAAATATTCTAACTGGCACCTCCACTCAATGCTCTTCCACGAAATAGACAAACGCACCCATCTTCATGCGCTGGCTCATCCCTTGGCAACAGAGACTGGGACTCCTCCCTGTGCGGTGGCAACATTCGAGGCGGTGGCCGTCCCGAAGGGCCCAGTCCCGCGCCCTGCCGTTCACCCCATTCCTCCACCCAACCACCTGCTGCCCAGTCTGCTCCTGGTCCAGGGAAGCAACCCCATTCCCCTTCTATGGCATGGGGAATGGGATGTGGCCCTTCCTTGTCTCCCCACTCCCCTCTGTGTACATTCTCCCACTCGGGAGGCAGTCCCCTTCTGGAAAATATATGATGAAAAATCATATTTTCATGTTTAACTGTTTGACAGTGTCATTAAAACAACATTTCTACTGCAACTTGCAATTCAGAAGTGACTGAATCATCCAAACTAAAACACCAGTCAACAATATTTATTTTGACACAGACACTGTTTAAAACTACTAACGTATTGATGAGAGACTCTCGGGTCACAAGCCGCGTCAGGTGGCCGAATGGTGAATAAACCATATCTTCTGGCAAAGTTTCAAGAACAATCTCTGCTCTCGTCCTCAGGGCCGCTGACTAACAAATCTGATTCTTTGCTGCGAGCTCGCCGACGGGAGTTTCTCATCAGTGAGCGCCGATAAAGTAAAGTGAACCTAAAATGCATTATACTATCTTTTCCTCTCCTCTTTTCACATCTTTCAATCCTGTGTCTTTAATATAATATATCAAATACCATTGTTGGTATTATTTTAATTATGAACACAAAAAGTGAGTGATGAAAATAGCATTTATGTTTCTGAGACACATTGATGGGGAGAGGTTATAACGCAGATAACGTAATGAGTGCATAAGAGAAACAGAACCTGTAAGATACACGCAAAGCGACCACATTCAAACCGACTCTGAACGACCTCCAACAAAATAGACAGAGCAATAATAATATTGTGAGCCGGAACAGGTGATCAGAAAAAGCATCAAATTCCACAGTATATAAACGTGATGGCTCGGTGGCCGAAGGGCAATTCAAGTAATGTGTAAAAGCCAAGAAGAAACAATAATGACAATGTCAAATATTTCCTGAAGAAAGTTGTAATCTGTGAATTTATTCATTACGTTCAGTGAACATCTAATAGTTTAGACGGCAAACTATTAAAAACTGCAACGGGAACAGAAAACAAAGTGGCGACAGTACAGATTCACTGATACAAATAGCTCAGACCGTACAGCAACAACAGTCAGCGTGTCATTTGGTCTCACGCATGCCTCTGACTAGCTGAACAAGAAAGGTTCATTTGCCGGTTACCAACTGCAGGGACAGTCACAACAGCTAAGCAAACCTCAAGTAGACATGTCAAGAAAACTTGCCTGCCCCTCCCATCCCACTCTCGGCGGCTGTCGGTGTAGTCCCTCGTCTCCCAGTCCCTTCCTTTTATCGAAGGTCCTGGAGGCCGAGGCTCTTCACGTTCATAACCTCTTCGCCGCTCTTGTTCTCGTTCACGCAGGTCCCTCTCACGTTCATGGAGTTCTCTCTCCCTCTCTCTATCTCTCTGCTCTCTGTCCCTCTCTCTTGGATCACGCTCCCGACCATCCCATGGGTCACGACCTCGTAACGGTTCCATGCTGCTGTGCCCTTCCCGACGCCTGCAACAGACTTACACGTTAACACAAACATAAAGTAATTATTACCCAGCAAATTTTAATTAACTCTTATGCTGTAAGGTTCACCCAATTTCATTGAACATATTCAGTACTGTGACATAATAGAAGGATCAATACCCTCGTCTGTCTTCTGAAAAGTTCCTGGGATCAAGACGTCTGTCTACCAAACCACGAGGATCTTCACGCTGGGGCGCAGGATCATCATAGCGATTTCTCTCCATTTGGTCAGAATATCGACTTCTATCATCTCGCACTGAAAGAAAAGCCCACAGAATAATTACCAGTAATATAAACCATGATTTTACAAGTGTCAGTAAAATGAAGTAAAATATTTCATGTGCATAAATTTTTAACTATAAGTGAGCTCCAATTAAATTTGACAGTACTCGTGAATAAGTTCAGAGCACAAGCAAAGTCAATACACTGCCACTGGCAGAGGTAGGACATTATAGTGAATCCCATCCACTGTCACAAACCTTTAAGGAATCATCTTGTAATCTGCATGTAATAATAAAATGAAGTACGCCTACATGTATTTTAAATTACACACCTCTCCTGCTCTCAAATGGGCTGTCATATTCCTTGTCCTCAGGAGGCGGCCGTCGACCATCCGACTCCCTGTTTCTTGGAGGAAGTGGGTAATCACGATCACTGTGATTGTCCCTGCTCTCTCTATCCAGATGAGAAGTTCTTTCAAGACTTCGCTCAAAACCCCTCTCAGGACCACGCTCAAGTCCCCTTTCAGAACTTCTATCAAACCCTCTGTCTGATACCCTGTCAAAGTTTCTGTCTGGACCTCTTTCCAGTCCCCTCTCTGTTCCACGTTCGCTGCTCCTTTCTTGACCTCTGTCTGAACCTCTACCTAATCCCCTATCAATTCTTTCTGGACCCCTACCCAACCCTCTATCCAAACCCCTATCAAGAGTTCTCTCTCTGTCTGAACCTCTTTCACGATCAGAAGGCCTATCTCTATCAGGAATTCTTTCAAGGCCCCTGTCCCTGTCAGATCCTCTATCCAATCCTCTACTGAGTCCCCTGTCTCGTTCTGGACCTCTTTCAAGGCCCCTGTCCCTGTCAGACACTCGGTCAAGTGCCCTGTCCCTGTCGGAGCCTCGGTCAACACCCCTGTCCCTGTCGGAGCCTCGGTCAAGACCCCTGTCTCTGTCGGAGCCTCGATCTAGTATTTTATCAACACCCTTCGGCCCAGAATGAAAGTCAGCAGAGTTCTTGCTACCACAAGATGGTGGCTGCTTAAGTCCAGAAGGGTTGTGTGTCATCAAAGAAAGCAGCGAGGGTAACTCTCGTTCATATTCACGGGCCTTATTCAATTCCTTCTCACGCTCACGTTCACGCTGACGTTCACGGCAGCGTTCCAAAGCTTCCTCACGCTCTTTATCTCTAGCAGCCTCTCTACTTTCCCTTGTACTTCTGGCATCCCTAGATAATCTAGGGTCAAGATTGTCTCGACTGTCTTTGGTGTCCCGACCATCCCTGGAACTATCTCGATTATCTCTCGGGTCCCTGTTATCCCTGATCTCTCTACCGTCTCTGTTGTCTCTACTGGTATCACGTGGTTCTCGCCCACGCTCCCTATCCCTGTCTCGGTCTCCATCCCCATGGTCTCGACCTGAAATAGCACAAGAAATTGGAACACCACACACTAAACGAGAATGTGTAATAGCTGCATAAACATTTTCTGAAAAGTACTAACAAAATTTAAGAGACTCAACTGTACCAATCTGGCCTGTTATTTCTTTACAGTTAACACAGGTACATTGTTCCCAGCGTCTGTGTACCATGCCATAAAACACAAAGGGGCAGACAGGTAAAGTCCCATGTAACCTCAGTATGCATCACACAAGAAGTCCGCTGAAAAAAGGCAGTGGAAGAAGGGGGGGTGATCATACTGCACACGCGCACTCCGTCTATGCGTACTTCAAAACATTGTACTCCAGTAGTCTCCAGCAGTGCATTGCTTAAATGAGAAGCGTCCGTAGAGGTGGACACATTTTGCGAAAGAGTACACCAAAGATGTTCTTGCCCAACCCACTCCCACAAGACTTTTTGCGGCACACTACCAGTAGTCCACATACTTTTAGACATAAAGTCTCTGTCTTGTGCTGTCTTCTCTACTATCCCTGGCAACATCTGAGACTCCCTCTTTCTAGAAGAAACGCCGTCATCCCTGCGGCTCCCAGAATCCTCCTTTCCAACACGACTTCCTCCTCCCCTTTCCAGAGTTGTCTCCCTCGAGCCACGATCCTTTCCACCAAGGCCGTCCCGCAATCCTCTGTCTGACGCGTCTGCTCTCCTGCTGTCTCGCTCATCCTTTTCTCTGCCTCTCTCATGGTCTTTCCTAAAAACAAAATGAAATAACAGACCTAACAATAACATAGCAGTAAGAATAATACAGAAATACAGGCAGTCTGATAAACAGTGTGACTGTAAAGCAAACTTATGAATTACTACTTAGCTCACTCATGTCTCCTGAGACCCACGTTACTTTAAATTCTGCTACTGCACAATAAGCCGCTGCTTATTCCAGTCTCGTTTCCTGTGTCACACTTCCTGATCTCAACCGAAGTAACTTTATTCACAGCAAGGAGTTTATAAATCAAATCCTCGCACAATTAAAGAACTGAGGGAAAAAACCTGCACCTTGTCATCGAGCACAAAGCCAGTCCCTTTATTGACTGAGCCATCCCTGCTATCAAATATAGTAGTAGCAGTATGCAACATTAAGATCTGTCGCACAGTTCTGCATAATAAAACGTACAGGTTCTACAAGACTGCCAAACCACAGATTCCAACGCACTGTACGCATCGAAGTTTGAACCAGCAGTACCTAGCATCTCCATGTTTTGACCACGAATCTCTAACGTCTCTTCTGTCCAGGTCCCTGGGCGAACTCTTGCCAGTAGTACGTTTACTGTCGAGGCTACCATCACGCCCTCTTCCACCTCCAGTGCTGCTCCGAGATTTTGCAGGAGAAATTCTGTACCAATGCAAAATTTCACCCATTTGATATTCTTAAGTAAAAGAAGAAGTTGAGAAAGAGGTGGATGATTTGTGACAGCTTTTAATTTTTAACTTGCTTGTTTAGTACACAACCCAAGATAATTTATGCCTGTGGCTGAAAAAATAATTTAAGATAAATTATGCAAGAATTCCTTTTACTTTAAATTGCACATTGACAGAAGTGTTTACTGGATGTCAAGTGTAGTTGTTAGCATTCATCTCCATATTCAGGGCATACACAATTAAAATTCTGGCTGTGAGACTGAGAATTCTAACATTTTCCAAGGGTTTCCTCAGCCCTTCAACATACGCTAAAACCCAAATCCCTGCGTATTCACTATTCATTATCATCCTGTAATTTCTCATGATCTCAGCATACAATATAGCGTAATCAAATTAACAAAAGAGAGAAGAAACTCAATGAGTGTAAGCTACATAAAAACTACAATATTTGTTCAGTCTGTACACTGTTGTCTACATTTTCTTACCGGTAACCTTTGTCCTTAGAATTGCCTGAATCTGGAGAATCTTTCTTCCTCAAGTCCTTCGGTGGCCTAGAATCTCTTCGTGGAGAATGAGATGAGCGATCTTTCGCTTTAGTCTTTGGGGATCGACTTCTCCCACGATCATGGTCCTTTTCTCTCTCACGCTCTCGTTCCTTCTCCTTGTCCCTTTCTCTTTCCTTCTCTTTTTCTCTTCCTCTATCCTTCTCTCGTTCTTTCTCCTTCTCCCTCTCCCGTTCTCTCTCTTTATCACGTTCCCTTTCCCTCTCACGTTCTCGATCCTTCTCTTTGTCCCTATCCCTGTCGCGATCGCGATCCCTTATTGATGGACGCAGTGGGGATACGCTTCTGTTGTGTTTGTCTTTCCTGTCAAGAGACAGAGAGCGGTTTGGTCTTGGAGACTGATGCTTTGCGCCTACAAAACAAATGAAAGTGGAATTTCCAAATAATAAAACTTTAAAGCCAACTTTACAATTTACAGTAAGGTTCACATCCACGCAGAAGCAGTTCACAACGAACAAAACAAATATCAGGAAAGCATTCACACAGACACACTGTGCTGCTTACACGAGAGAGAAACACGCTACAACACCTGGTTGCTTCGCGCCGAGTGATGATCGGGCAGAAGATGTAGTTTTGTTCTTGCCCCCAGTAGAATGCGGCGGAGTCTGGGACCTTCGTCGATGCCCACTACTGTTACGCCCTACTGGAGTCAGCGATCGTCTTCTTGCAGGCTGCTGCCCTGACTTCGAGGCCGGGGGCGCTTTTCTTGCCGGGGGGGATGATTCCCGCCTTTTTGTTGAAGATGAACGCTGGTCCTCCACTCTTCGAGCAACAGGAGCCTTTTTGGTAGGAGGAGGGGAACTTCCACCCTTAACTGAGGGCTTTCCACTCCTATAAGTTCAGGAATAAAAACTATCAAAACGGTCCTCCCATATACTGTCACTAAATTCAAAAAGTTTATGTTTTCACTTCAACTTTGAAAGTTACATAACATTCCACTATGACAAATCATTCTAGCAAGTGTTGTTCGTACACAATGTCAGTCAAGACATGTCCATACAAGAAAATACCATGGAGTATCTACACCGTAATGCTAAAGTGAAACATCTGGCAACAAGTCTACTCAAAAATTTTTAGTGCCGAGTAAAGGCATGCAAAGCAAAATTCAAAATAAACGAAAAAGTTCTTTGCCTGTTGGATTTTTTCTTTGACACACGGTCTGTTTCTGAAGCAGAAGAACTGGAGTCCCGTTTCAGTTTCTTGTTCTTTGCTTTCCTCCTCCTAGAATCTGCGGACGTGGAGCTTGAAGTGGAACTTGAATCATCGCTGCTAGAGCTCGACTCAGTAGTGCTGCTCGAGGTGGCAGATGTTGATGATGAGCTGCTGATGCCCTGCACAAAGCAAACATGTTTTGACACTACAACATGCATATTACACACCAGAGGGCATGTTTCATTTGTGCATGATTTTGTGTTGTTTTATATAAGATTTTAGGTGTTCACAGCGGTGAGTCTGAAGATTGCTGTCTTCTCTATCCTTTCAGCAAAATCCGGACACATGGATCGGATGATCAGTGAGGCCATCGAAATTGAATCACATCCCAATAACTTCAACAGGGAGGATGGACTGAGATGACAGGAGTTACATGGCAGGGTGACAGCACGAGAATAAACGACGCTTTTGACGATGTGCACTTACCACATTATATTAGTGATTTTCACCGCAGTTGAATGCAATGAAGTCTCCTCAGGCAATGAGCCAAGTGAGCAAAGATTTACTTTCCAATGTTCTGAAGGCTCGCTGCATCCATCATATGATGAGCAATGTAACTGCCCCCAGTTAGGTCTCAAGGTCCAGTTTCCTTGTCCAAAAGTGGACCAGTACAGAGCCATGAGGGAATCAAGTTGCTTATGATTTTACGTAACGCCTGATATGCAGCACTTTAAAGACTGATCACAGTTCAAAACAAATCCCAGAAATGGAACACACGTGCGGAAGTTGACTTTTAACGAACTCACTGCCCATTCAACTTTGACTTAGGCAGGGGTAAGTTGCAGTGGGAATTAATGGATTCATAAAGCTATCACCTTAAATACACTTAATGAGATACCTTCTTGGTCTTCTTGTCTTTCTTCTGTCTTTGCTGCTCCTCCTTCTCCCTCTTCATCTGTAGTTCCAGTTCTCTCTGAAGTAATTGCCTCCTTTTCTCCAGTGCCTTTTCATCCTCATACTCCAGGTCAGTTTGATCCCAGTTTTCCCAGTTCAGGTCTGGACTGTGCGTCTTCTTCACAACCACCGTTGAATGGAGGCGTTTATTCAGCTCATCTTTACCGTTCAACTTCGAACTGGAACCGTGACTCTAAATTAAGAAGGCAACAGACATCGTTTCTAATCTTGATGCAACTCAGGTTATTCTGTTCATCTGATTACAACTTCCTGTCTTCAGTTCCAACAACAAATAACAGCATAAACAAGACTCCAGAAATAAGACTGCCTTTTCATCATGAGTGAGTGAACAGAGGGAGAGTATATATTTAGAAAGAGTCTAATGTATCATTTAATATGTAACAATGCTTAAAGGAAATTAAAGAATTTGCTACAAAGTGTTCCCTAATCTTAATATTTAAATATTCTCATAATTTGTAAATACTGCATACAGAAATATTTGTATTAAGAAAAATGCAAGACTGCGCCGGGTGATCAGCCTGATGATCGAGGCAGTAAGCACCTCTGAATTGTCAGAAAACTTCTACCACATAACATGGCGCAACAACCCAGAAAACATGTATTACTTTTAAGTATGTTAAAATGCATTTCTTGTGTTTACTGAGAGAGAAGAGGCACCTTAGTTGGCTTTGATGGTGTTAGCAGCACCTGAGGTTCTGCTATCTCCAACTTTATGTATTATAGACGTGTCCGCAGCTCCATTCTAGTCTATTTCAGAGCCACAAACACTGCTCTGTGCAGGAAAATACCCTGCGTTACCTTTACAGAACACGGTCCCGTAATTTTTGCCCATAAAAAGTTTCACAAACCTGCTTTTGTTTTATGTCACCATCCTTTTTTGCTGCTCGTTGCTTTGATGGACTAATTAAAGTGTGTGTATTTGCATATCTGTAAGGTAAACAGACTTTCTAGTAAAACACATTCTTGAGAAAGTATCAAAGCCCAACTATGAAACACATGGCACCACTGTAGCACCAACATGGTTATAACAAAGTCAAGCAATGAGACAGTACAGTTATTCACATGTTTGAGCACCACTTCATGACTTATGCAGATGAAGTTAATGCAGTGGCTACAAGGAGTGAGAGGTCAGCCTCAAAGTCCACTTCACACAACCCTTCAAGCAAATATTTCCTGAACAGGAGACTCACAGTTCTTATAAAAATGATGATGAAGAGAAAAATCCCAAGCTTCTACAATAAATTAAACCAAACTGACCAAGCAATGGGGAGTCATACTTTACTGTTACATTCAACGTAAACTATGGCCCAACAGCCGTTTCATCTCTCTGTTAGTGTCTTCAATTCAGAGGCCAGAAAAATATGTGTCAAAGCAAACATGTAATATTTCTGGTCATCACAGCAATGAGTATGAAGATGGCTGTCTTCTGGGTTGTTGCACTGTGTAGCCTGATAGAAGTTTACTGACATTTCAGATGTGCTTGCTGCCTCTATCATCAGGACAATGATTGCTGCCCCTCTTAAATGTTGCTGAACTTCTACCACACTACACGGAGCAACAACCCAGAAGACAGCCATCAAGTAGACCACCAGTTAACTGTAGATGCACTTACTTGCAATTTTTCCCATATGGGCAGTTCCCATTTTGGGCCCAATGTCTGCAGAAATTCTCATTGTTAGTCTGATTGGTGCTACTGGACGTTGTTGCTTTTGTTCCCAAACGTTCAAATACACTGGGTCTCCTTTGTGAATCTTTATTTTTATTTAGCGTTGTTTCTACTGTGATCTTCCGCTTTGTTTGTTTGGACATGTTTTCTGGCATACTGACTACAAAATATATTGTTCAATATTCACCAGAAATGTACACTGATAAATTCGTATAGTATTAAATTCACTATTCTTAACAAACTTTGAAGGCGTACGTACAAATACTCACAGATAGGTTAGGTTGCTACGTTTAAATTGAGGTAAAAAATAATGAAGTATTTATGGCACGTCGTTTCAGAATGTGAAGCACAGTAACAATACGGTACATTACTGATTAATATTTACAAGATACCAAACATAAACTGTAAACAAACCTACAGCTCAAACATAGGTAATTAAACTAGACTCCATTTTACGCTGCCATAGTGGCACGGGCAGTGATGGTAATACTAGCTGTGGAATAAGGTGTCATCAAGCGCAACTACTGTGACGTAAGGCGTGATCAACTGTAACCACACCATGAAATCGGAAATGGTTAACTGGATTTTATTCTATTAATGGTCAGATAATTTATCACAAAATTGCCGAACCGTTTCAATTTTCATTTAGACAATTTAAATAAGATCATACATACTTTGTTCTTCTCAAAAATGCGTTTAAAAGGTTACATGAACTTATCTTTTTGGCTTACATGAGTTGAAAAATAAGTTACATAAGTGTATTTTAGTTTTCACTGATTAAGGTTCACTGCGGTATTAATTAATCAAAATCAATCTCTATCAAAGATGACGCCATACGTAATTCATGTCACTTTTCATCCTCCATTTGGTGACACCTTACTTTCACCCATCGTAGGCGGTAAATACAAATTACAGATATGGCACGCATACTGTGCTGCCATCTGTCCAATAATATTTACAATGAAGGTGAATTGGATAAAAAATGTGCAAGGATGTGGAAAGAAGCAGTCGTTTAAGGTACTATCCGAGGGTGAAACTCGGGAGCGGAGGAACTGCCATTTCTAGGATTGGGTAAACATTTACGACGTGTATTTATTATTGCGCCATATAAATAAACAGACATATATAGTGTAGGTGATAGCTATATACAACCAATCCCCCTTCTCAGCTGTCCCAAGGCATCAGAGTCAACAATCTGGAAACATGCCAAAGGGAAAGGATGCATCTCATAAAACAAATCTCACGTAAATGTTAATATTTGTTACTGGTAATTATAACGCGTTAATTGTATGCTGTTTCTCCATCGTAACACAAAATACTTATGTGCCATTCGTAGACACGCGAAATAACAGTTTCGTCTAGCACACAAGAAAACTGCTGTTGCTACAAACTTTCGTCATGGTTCTGCCCCGAATAATTTGATACCACGAAAGTTGATATTTCGTTTGTCTACTAAACTACAATGCACAATGTAACAATAAACGGCTTACGAGTTGCTTCCAGCTGTAAACCTAACCTAAAATAAAACAAATTTCACTGTACTTTGTCCAGAAAGCAACAATGCAAAACAGAAAACATTTATAGGCAACGGACGCATTCGAAAGGATTTAAAACTAAACCGACATAAAAACTTCTTCACTCACAACAATTTTAAATTACGAATACGATAAACTTTTTTTTCTCCTTGTGATAAACAAACATTAAAATCACAGCTAACAACTATTCACTGTTACTCAGACCGGCGAGAAGTTGAAATTTCGCTGTGAAATGTTTAACATGTTTCAAAGTCGTAACATAATAGAACAATTTTTCTTTTGCTGTTGTCATCTGCAATTGAAACTAGATTACACGAAGAACATCTCACGTTGTTACGAAAAGTCGTTAAAACTGGGCGACGCCGAATTCAAATTTAAACGGCCAACAATCGTTCGTAAAATTCTCCAACATCAAAATCGGTTTACACGTACAATACGAGTAAGTACGGACTGCAGTTTTCTCAAGGCATTCCATAAATTGTGTGCGGTGGCAAAACTTTGGAAAAGAGCACTCGCACAGAGAACGTTCGTGGTTGTTCTCAGACCCTCCAGAAAATACCTCCTCCCACGTCTACCCTTCGCTAAACGGTTAAAGCCTGTGAACAGATTAAGATAACGAAGCAAGAATATGGAATGTGGTATTCCAGGTTGTGACGCCATAAAGTCTTGTGGTGGTTAATAAAGTTACAAAGGAACGTACCGCCTCCATATTAAAGAGACTACAGGTCGTCATAACCCAGAAATGTAAATTAATTGAAAATTTAACCAGATAGAGGAAAACCCTGATCTCGTGGGGCTTCCCCCCCTCCCCACTACTTATGTGGCCTGGATCCAGGACTCTTCGAAGTCCCTCCCAGCAGAGGTGGGGAGTGTCGTCTCGTGAGGCCGGGAATGCCCAACCACCAGGGCGTCGCTGTCTGCGTCCATTTTAGCTGCAGTTATACTAGGACCAGTTGTCGCTACGTGGACCGCACACAATCATGGCAGGCGCGTTGCAAGAGACTTCGAGGCTGCTGAAGGAGCACCTCCGTCTGGCCGGTCTGCCCGACGACGGTCAGCTGTGGGCCGTGGCACAGTCGCCTCTCGGGGGCCGCGGACTTGTCGCCTCTCGAGACATCGCCCCGGGCGAGCTGGTGTTCTACGACGTCCCGCTGGTGCTGGGGCCTCGTGCAGGCGCCCATTGCCCGCCGGTGTGTGCGGGCTGCCTTCAGGGTTTCGAGGCGCTGCTGCCCTGCTCCAGAGGCTGCGGGTTGCCCGTGTGTTCCAGCCAGTGTGAGAGCGTCCCTCTTCACCGCTTCGAGTGTCAGAAGCTGAGCAGCTGGGGGGTGCGAACGAATGGCTCGTGGTCCCGGGAACTCCTGAGAGCTTCAACTCCGGTGCGGTGCCTCGCGCTCAGCCCCACGAAGAGGCAGGTGCTCCAGTGTCTCCAGCGCCACGGCGGCTCGCAGCATGCGTTTGAGGTATCACTCTGCGTGACGTAGAGAGAGAGAGAGAGAGAGAGAGAGAGAGAGAGAGAGAGAGAGAGAGGGTTTTTTTTTTGCAGCTGGGGGGTGCGAACGAATGGCTCGTGGTCCCGGGAACTCCTGAGAGCTTCAACTCCGGTGCGGTGCCTCGCGCTCAGCCCCACGAAGAGGCAGGTGCTCCAGTGTCTCCAGCGCCACGGCGGCTCGCAGCATGCGTTTGAGGTATCACTCTGCGTGACGTAGAGAGAGAGAGAGAGAGAGAGAGAGAGAGAGAGAGAGAGAGAGGTATTATTATTAGGCTTTGGCACCCTGAAATTTCAGTTCTCTGTTTTCTGTGACGTATTCAATACAAAACCCCGTTGTTTGTCGTAGATTCAAATAATATTCAAAAGTGTTTAATCATTGTAATAAAACTGAACACCCCATCACCGCTGCCTCCCGTCCCTTGAGCGCCTTCTAGGTTCCCGCTGGCGCAGCTGAGCCGTCCATCTGTTGCCCAGGTGAGGGCGCATTCCGCCGCGTTCTCGCTGACCGACCAGCAACCGGGATCCAACTACGTGCTTCAACGATGTAACAGCAAAAGGCAATCTCGTTCGTTTCACGCGCTGTTACGTCGTCTTTCTTTTTTTAAACAAAGGCTGGCCCAGAGGGACGTAAAACAACACACAAAATGAACGCCAAGTTCGACATTTTTTAAACAGACTCAAAACTGCCAAGAGCCAGATAAGTGCACGTGGCCCCACACAGTTCATCGTATTAATAACAAAAGTTATTTCATGATGTCACGTGACGCGGCCTGGGCCTAGCTGTGCTTGCACCACGAAATGAATTTTGAAAATATCTGACCCTTTCAAAATTCAATTACTTATCAATTGTTGAATCTGAGAAAGACATTTCCTCCTACGACGACTCGTATCGCTGAATCTCATGAAAAACACGTGACATACAATACGAGATGCATAACGGAAAGAAACCAGAAGGCAACCATCAGCGCCCCAAGTATTTAAGGACTCTTACGAATATCGACCAAATTAACTCCTATCCAGTCCACACCAAATGCCTTCAACATCCACGTTAATAATGTATTCCCATTCGCGTCTGGGACTCCAAGTGATACCATCCACCCTTCAGGTATCCCTACTAAATTCTGTACGCATTTCTCACCTACACCACGCGTGCTGCATGTTCCGCCGACTCATTTGTCACGCGTCCACAAACGGCGCCTCGTTCCGTGGTTACAGGTAGACATTCTGAAGCAGAAAACCGAGAAGGGGCCGAGCACCGAGGAAGAGGCCTTCATGCGCCTCGCATGCTGTGTCATGGACGCGAATGCCTTTGAAACGGCACAGATTCCTCTGGTAAAGGCCGTCCGGACGGAGGAGGGCACAACGCCCAGCCTGCGAGGGCTGTATCCCCTAGCCTCGATGATGAACCACGCGTGCACGCCGAACACGCGACACGGTTACGACGAGCGACAGCGAATGGCGGTCCGGGCCGCCATGCACATACCAGCTGGCACCGAGATCACCAACTCTTACACGTCGCTGTTATGGGGCACCACGGCCCGGAGGTATCAACTCGCGGTCACCAAGCACTTCCTGTGCGCCTGTTCGCGATGCAGCGACCCGCAGGTAAGGGCACTGAGTGAGCTGTCGCCTACGCGTACGTCCTGACGGTGCTTATATTTCAGGATACTTTGTTCCTGCGGACAGGAGGGTGGTTCACGCCTGGCCGCCCTCAGATGTCTGACGCCGTCGTGCCAAGGCTCGATGTTCCCGACAGAACCTCTGGACGACGAGTCAATGTGGGAATGCGAGCTGTGTGGATGCCAGGCGACAGGGCGCAAGGCAGCCATCACTCAAGGTACTTTAGGGCGTCTTCTGTGTATCGTCGACAGCAAAAATATCGCTCAAATGGAACGCTTCCTCTGCGAGCACCACCACGTCATGCCATCAACCAATCAGATTGTGGTAGAGGTCAAGTGTAACCTCATCCGAAGCTACGGGCACGCCACGGGATACTCATGGACAGGTCAGTCATCATCAGGTCTGAGGCGAGCTGGTCCCAACTCGTTCCGGAAGCATGCCTTTGAATCAGGACCAGGGAACAGCATCACTGACCTCGGCCTTTTGTGGTTTTCCCCAGTCCCTCCCAATTTACCGTTCATCAGCCTACGCTGTTTTAGCCTCGGGCACTGTAAGTGAATTCCTCCAGCAGACGGAATGAATCACGCGTGCTCTTTCCCGGGCGTCTGTGCGTCGAA